AGAATTGCGCAATAACAGAAAGAAACGAAAACGAAAGAAAGAAACAAGAGTTGCGCAATAATAGAAAGAAAGGAGAAGAAGAAGAAAACACAGTCTTATGAGCTGCCAGGAATGGCAGATCATAACAGTAATAAGTCCACTAATGCGTAATTGTCGATTCTTATTTATTATTTTGCACTACACATAAAAGCGGAAATCACATGTTGTTTTTTAGATGGCACCAAAGCTAAGAGGTCGTAAACAGCGACAATTTCCCTTTACACGTCAGTGTATTTTATGCAGCAAGTCAAACGGAACTGGGAAGGATTACGAAACAATTAATGATGATGCGCGTGCAGAAAAATTCAGAGAAGAAATGGAGCCTTTACTTCCTAATTTGAAAAATCGTTTGTCATTAATTGGGGTTAATTACCATCATAATTGTTATCGTAAATTTACTTATAGAAAAATTAAAGGTATACTGTGCGATTTCTGTTGAATTCCTCTTTCCTCTTTTCGACCTGATGAAATACTTCTACTTGCTAACAGCAATTAAAGATCAACAACAATCAACTCAATTACAACAAGCTACGCCTAGCGCTTCTTTAGCAAGTGGTTCAATGCAACTTTTCGTTGACCAATCTGATCGCCCAACGGATGATGGTAAAAATATCTGAAAGTTGTTTTTAAATGTTTATTTTCTCTTACTGTCCCGTTTAGATGGTGACAATAGTGACAATGATTATTACGCCGACGCGCTCAATATTACAGATTTTGAATATCGATACCAATCAGGTACAATTCTTTTTTATCTTTTAAGGTACAAAATTCTATCACTTAAAAAGGACAAAGGTTATTCATCTCAGAAGGCAAAAGAATCATGTCTACGCTCACAACTATAATGCTTACTCAATAAATAAATATTGTAGATACGTTTTGTTCACTAAAAAAATGAAGAGTGAGTCTATTGATACCACCATGAGGTGTCACCAAGGACTATTGACACAACCATCGGAGGTGTCAGAAATGGCTGTTGACACCTACTGGAGGTGTCACCAAGAGTTGTTATCTCTAATGTCATTGGCAGTAATAAAAGGAGGAATTAGGTCAGACGAAGAGATCTGAAACTGTTAGAATATGTGTGTACGTGGCACCGACAAAAGCATTGGTCAATCAAGTTTCAGCAACTATCTATTCAAAAGTAAGAGCCACAAAAATATCGCTCACATAAGAATTATTAGTTGTGTGATTTCAGTTTGGTGCCGTCTTTGGCGTCTTCACACGTGACTATCGAACAAATGTTGAAAATTCTCGAATATTGGTGACTATTCCCCAGTGTTTTGAAATTTTATTGTTATCACCA